TGTATACCTAAAGAAACTTCTTACAATTTTGAGCAGCAATCTTCCAATGTCGCATTTGTAGGATGGGAGATATTAATGTTTTCAGGGCTTTATTTATTTCTTCCAAAATTGCATTTAATTCTTGATGCTGATTAAAAAGTCTGACCGAGAAATTATGCAATTTTTTTCCACAATATCTCGTATTACTGGATCAAGCTATAGAAGTTGTATTTCATCAGCAATTTCTATTTGGTGATATATCAGATGTCTTTGTGCAAACTATATTAGAGAAAAAACCCTTTTTGCAGCTCTCTTTATTAATGGATTATTTTCTCTGATTGCCATCCTATAATTAATGATTGCCTGTAGATAAATAAATATCTTAAAAAAAAAAAAAAAAATTAAAATATTTATGTATATAATAAACCTAATAAATATTATAATTGTAGAATAAAATACCCAGGTATATCAGAAAATTTTAAACCTTGATTATAATTAGTTGCAAGCAGTTAATCAATTATAATCAATTAATTTTAAGCAATTATTATTAGTGGAAATGATAATAATTGATTTAAATCAAAATCGATAATAGTTGATTATAATTAATTGAATCAATTATAATTAATTAGTTTTATCATAATTAATAAAAATCTTTATCAGTACTGTATAATTGGCAAGGTGATAGTAATTGATTAAAATCATCAGATTTTAATCAATTACAACCAGTTTTCAAAATTTCCTGATGACTATTTGAGTACCATTGAGAGGGTATTGTAAAATATTTAATTATTCTGGGTACTATACTAAGAGGTATTAAAATTGAAATACTATTATTAATAAGGAGTTTGTATTTAATCATCTGATTATAATACCTAGATCTATTACATCAAGATTGCTAAAAAAAGAAAATAGTGGTATTATACTAAGGGATATTTTAATTCACAAAATATATTTATCTGTTTGAATTTGACTTAATAAAGTGCATTATTTTGCTCTTTTACCCAAGACAAATAACCTTCTACTGATGAATTAGAATCATTTTTAATATATAGCCACATTAGTTCCTTGACCATAGCCTGGTGATAAATGTTACAGACCGAGTTCTATAATTTATGATGATTATAGCACTTCTTGAAATAATTAAGTTAATTCTTAGTCTTATATCCTTGTAATATTGCAAACTGTTTAAGATTGATATTTCTATAATATTTTAAATATTAAAAAATAATACAAATAAAAAAAAAAAATCAAAAATTTGAAAGTCTACTAATTTAATTCTACATATGCATAAAGCATATTCATTTCCTCATGTAATTGCCCAGGAACAAGAACCAACCATGAAAATTTTTCTTTTATTTTGGCTATACGATAATACAGAATACTATCACATGTTACAACTGTTTATTTATATGTTCTATTTTTAATTCCTGTAATATACTCAATATTACTATAAAAAGAACTTTTTCAATATTAGCAGTTGTATTAGGATTAACATCAAGGAGATCAGGGATAAAGATTTCTGGAACATTAACTTCTTCATTAGTAAGTATCCTTTGGGTGATAATAATTCTTGGTGTGTTGGATCGTCAATATTCCTTTTCAATATTATATGACCTAAATACAACTGGTTTGTCTTCCTTATTCTTAAATTCTTTATCATTTTCAACATTTTTGCTAATATAGGTAGTTAAGACTTACAATTCAGGCAAACTTGCTTTTGGTTATTGATATCCTTTTTATTACAATTAGAGCATTTCTTACTACAATGATTACTTAAACCTATGTTAAATGCAAGCAAATCAATTATGTTAATTATAGGTAATTTTTCCTCACACAACAGATCAAGTATTTCAGAAATATAAGCTTGTAATTCTTTGTTCATGACTTCTTGTATTTTAGAAATAATATCGAAAAGGCTTTCATATTGCATCTACTTAATAAATCAAAAGCCCAAGGATTATTAATAGTATATTGAATATTATTTTGAGAGTTCATATTTAAAGCAACAAAACTGATGACGATATGAAATATAACCATATTAAGCCCTCGATCTAAATAATTTTTTTGACCCCTTTGTTCATTATTGAATACTAAAAATAAAAGACTCTCTGTCAAATCTTTATTTTTTTTATATAATTTTTCTTGCCAATTCTGAAAACTAAAATAACTTCCCAAACTTGTAATATAGTTATCGACATTAATAATAGTTTTTGACTGTACAATGGAATACTTAATAGCTAATGCTATGAGATCTATTTTCAATACATATTTTTCATGTCTAGAACCATATACCAAATCAATAGCTATAGTCCTTTTAAAAAGTTTTTCTGCACTTTCAGAACCTGTATTAAGATTATTATTTGTTAGTGTTTCAATAAATTTTACAACAACCTGATTACATTTACTTAGCCATGTTTGGGATATAATTTAATAAATTTTTCAAAAAAAATCTATTATTATCTCTAATAAGAGATTCAACTTCATAATATAATGAATCTCATTCGAGTAGTATGATATCAATAGCAGCCTGTATGCACTTATGCTGATTGCTATACAGTATAACCTCGATATAACGAAGCTCTGTAGCTGGAGGTTTTCTTCGTTATATCAAAACTTTATTAATAGTTTCGTTATATCAGGGATAATTTAAACATAAAAATTAGAAATAATCTTCGTTATCATTATATTGAGGTTCGTTATATCGAGGTTATACTGTACCAAGAATTTCACTATTTGGTCAGTTGTACATTTGCATTGTGTTGTTTTTAAAGTGAATCTCTTAGCTGATCTACCGCTTTAAGACATTCGTCTAGCTGATTATTTAATCTGATTATTTCTTGTTTTTGATCCTTGACTTGTTATTGCAAATCAAGAATAATATATTCATTATTTCACGCTTGATTATACTCTTAAAACTCTTCAACCCTTTCAAACTCTGATATTTGTTGGGGCATATTAATGGTGGATATCTCATTATAGAAACTAGAGATAAGAGCAGAATCTGCAATGGAATTATCAACTCAGGGCTTTTTGCTTTTATTACTAGTAGGATAATCTGAAAGCTTATTATAAAAATAGTTAGTAGATACAATTTGATTATAATGAAATATACAAATAAAATAATTAGAAAATTGATGCTCTCTAAATTCAGATATAAAATTCTAAAATAATTCAAGTTACTTAGCTACCATTGGTCTATTAGCATTCCTCCAGTGGTTAAAATTTGACATTTCATAGTGACTTAATTCAAGATCTTTGTATTTACTAACTAAATCACTAAAGATGCAAGAAAGATCTTGGGCTTTTGCTTTTGAGGCTTGTTTAGCTAACGATATTGTTCTTAAGTATTAGTTAATTTTTTAAAAAAAAGTTTAATATATAGTTAGTTTAATAATATATTTTAATATAAAATTTTGCATTTTTTATATCTTATTTACTTTTTTAAAATTATGGATTATGAAAAGATTTTGACAGATTATGAACCTAAAGTAGTGATTAGACCTGGGTAGGTGCCATCCAGCTCACTTGCAGATAGACAGGTAACCTGTGAACAATAATTGCAAATATGTCAATTGCATGATAATATTTTGCACAAGACTTCTTTCAAAAATAGCTTTATATTAGACTAAGAGTATACTCAAGCACCTGCTCAATGAATTAGAAGTAAATTTTAAAAGTTATTATTTTGATGAAAAAACCCACAAGATACAAACCATCTTTTTTCTTTAAAAACAAAAGTTGCTCAAGAATTACATTTTTTTACATATCAAGCATAACAAATGAATTTTCTACTTAATCCAAAAAGTTAATATTTTATTTTTAATAGAGACCTTTAAAACAAATAATTGATGCCTTGATTTGAATATAATAAATACAACTATAAAAATACTGCTATTCCATTCTTATTTAAATTTAAAATCTTTTTTAATAAAGAAGACCTGAACAGAATGGTTTTGAGTAGATGTTTTTATATAACAAATAATGAAGTTATAATATAAATTTAAACCTGGCAAAATTATTAAAGAAGGAGCCAATACAACTGAAGTTAAAGCTTTGGCAATTGGTCAAAAAGAATTTTTTTTATTAGTTTTTTTTTAAACAACATAGTGAAGCTTATGAAAAATAGAAAGAGTATGCTTGAGTGTTTAATTCTATAAATATCGTCATTAATTATGATGCTTGAGTATTATCATAATCAATTGATCTTAAAAAAATCTAAAGTAAAAGCTTTCAATCTATAAAAGGATAGTTTCTGATTTGACAATCCCGATTTAATTTATTAAAAATTAGAATTATACCATTTTTTTTACTCTTTTAATAACAGTTATACTTATTATGCTCTTATTTCTTGTGTTGACCTGGCTGGTTTTGAATAGTTTACTTATTAAAAAAGGGCTTAGATCTTTCTTTCACATATGGCTGTAGCTTTGTGCATCAGTCTAGTTGGCTTTTAATGAATACTAACTAAAGTAGATTAAATATTAAAAAAATCCTTTTAAGTTAATTAGTTTTCTATCTTTGGTATAATAATTTAATATTAATCATTACACATTTGCCTTTTGTTCTCATAGCTCTACCAAATTTGACAATAGCTAAGTAATTAATAATAACTATTACAGAGAAATAATTAATTGTAAATAAAATACTGTAATAAGTTATGCACCTTAATTAGATGAATAAAATTTTTTGAAACACATCAAATTGATCAATGATGCTTTTTCAGATTAGATCAAAGAATTTAAAAATCTATTACCACATTTGTATCATTGATTTATTATATAGTATATAAGAAATAGATTCTGTAATCATAACAAAAACCCTTTTTTAAAAAAATAAATATAATTTAAATAAATAATTAAATCGTATATAAATAATCATTCTTTAATATGAATAAATCTTAAATTCAATTGCAATTCAAAATAATTTGTTATACTTTCATAAATTAATTCAATTATAAAATACATTCGATCTCTTTTGCCAAATCTCATTTGTTAATATTGCTCTCACAATAAATCGTATCAATGGATCCTGAATATACCTCTGATATTAGAAATATTTCAAATGTGAAAACTTCTTCGAATATAGAATATACTTCAGATATAAAGCTGAACTTTGATTCTGAACATGCTACTGGTGCCAATTTTCAAAGTAATATCAATACTGCCAGAGAAAAATTTGTAGAAAAATCTATAGATGAACTAAGTACCAAAAAGATTCAAGTCAGATTTAATAAACCAGATAATTCTAAAAAAAAGAAAAAGCTATGTTTGGAAGTACTTCAAAGAAGAAGAAGAGAGAGAGAAAGATGTTTATAAAATAATTATTCTTACAAAAGGTGCAGAAAAGTATGTAGAAAAAACTATAAGCATGACAGATCAACTGGAAACATGAAACTGCACTTACGAACAGAATATAAAATCTTTGCACCAAATGAATTAGAATCAAATTTAGATGAAAAACATTAATTAAATATAGCTGAAATGTTTAAGAGAGTAATTCCACATAGCGAATCTAAACAATTAGGACTAAAGTGTGTTACAGCTAAATGGTTAGTTACAGATTCTCTTCCCTTTAATGTTGTATATGAAACGGAATATCAAAAAATGATAAATTGAATCGATCCTGTATTTATACCACCAAGTAACAAGTATATTAAAAAAGAAATTGAGATTGCTTATCAAAAGGGTATAAAAGAACTTAAAAACTTACTTTCCACTACTTGTAAAACAGCATCCATAATTACTAACTTATAGATAGCTCGAAGTAATGATAGATATATTAATATAACTCTTCATTGGTTAATACCTAAATTTAAGATATGTGAAACATTACTCACTGTTAAAAAAATTGATTATCTACACACAGGTAAACAGATAAAAGAATACCTAAATATGAAAGTTGAGGAATTTGAATTAGTTAAAAAAATTTTTTGCATAATAACAGACAATGAAGCCAATATGAAAAAAGCTATAAGACTTTGGAATGGTATAAACCGGCTGCTTTGTATCGCATATACAATCCAACTCATAGTTGTTTAGGCCCTAAAATTTATACATCCATATACCAATAAAATTCGTAAGCTCATTAAATTTTTTTGATCTTCAAAGCAAAGTCAATGTCTTGATGAGATACAAGTTACTTTAAATTATCAAAAAAGCATTACAAAGCCTATTATTCGAATTTATGATTCTGAAAATATTGATAAAGACTCACCTGAAAAAGAAGAAAGTGAAGAGTTAGAAATAAATAAAGAACCAAAATTTATTTTGTATACTATTGAGGATGTAAAAACATGTTAGAACTAAGCTTATTAATCTTGGCAAAGGCTTTTAAAATTACGTCTGGCAATTGAGTGACTTTTGGCAACATTACACCTAAAGAATGAAGATGGCGCCAAAGAAGATTCTAATAGATTAAAAAAATATATGCTTGAAAATAATGAATGGGAGTTTTTGAAAATGTTAATAGGAGTATTTGAGCCTTTTGAAGAATTAACAACCTACTTTAGTAGAATTAAATATACTACACTTTCAGTTATCAACCCAAGTATTAAAGCACTGAAATTTGAATATGCCGAAGATTCTCTACTAAATCCAGAAGATTATGAAGAAATTATTAATTTTAAAAATAGTAAATAAATGGCTTAAACCAATTTATTAAGACCTAATTATAAGCAGCTTTTAATTTTTTTTTTTTTTTTTTTAAAAAAAAACTTAAATAAATCATCAGATGACAAAAATTTTGAAAATAATAAAGTGCTATTCTTACTTGAACAAACTATCTCAAAACTTAGAAAAATTATCTATAACTTCCTTTAGCACTATTGGCAAGGCTTGGAAGATATTAGATTGATTTCAATCTTACTAGATCCACAATTAAAATTGACAGAAGTATGGGGAAGTGAAACATGAGATGAAGCAACTAGTAAATTGTATGACGAATTTAAAAATTGGAAAGACACAATTACAGCTAAAGATTTGAAAGAATCTAATGAGAAAACTAGTTCAACACCTGCATCTCATTTTATGAAAAAAGTATTTGGTGGCAGTAGTTATAAGGATAAAAGTAAGATAGATGATAAAACTGAAATTGACAACTATTTAAATAAGTCAATTGTATTAGTTTTACCTGAAACTGCTGATATTTATAGTTGGTGGTGCAAAAATTAGAATATTTTTCTCACTTTAAGTAGAATGGCTCATAAATATCTGTCAATTCCTGCTACTTCTATTTCAAGCAAATGGCTTTTCTCAGATGCAGGAAATCAAATTACTCCTAAAAGAGTTCGCCTATTACCTGAAATAATAAACAAATTATTATTTGTAAAGCGAAATAGTCAATATTTAAATATTTGGTCTTAAAGTCTTTTATCTGAATGTTAGAAATCTACTTAGTATTTAATATTATCTGTAACTAAAAAATATAATATATTCATTTTTTTTTTTTTTTAGTATTAAGGTAACCTCTATAGCCGGGGCTTTTTATTAGATAATTAACAATGTTTACAATTATGATGAGGGTATAACTAGCCACACGTACAACTTTTGGTTATCTATTTTAAGTGGTCCGTCTGAGTTCTACACTAGCCACTATGCCTGCAATCTAACTAGAAGATTACCTATTTAAGCTCTCTGACTTTTACAAGTGAGAGTATGACTAGCCATACCTGCAACTTTTGGTTGCCTATTTTAAGTAGTCTGCCCGAGGTTCCACACTAGCTACCATACCTGCAACTCAACTAGAGGATTACCTATTTAAACTCTCTGATTACAACCGGCCCGCCATCTCTTACCTAATCAAGGTGTAACTCACTATTCATATGCTAGATTTTGTGACACCTATAGATTTCGCACCCACCTTAGAACTTACTAGCATTAGCTAGTCTATCCATGAGGTAAACCTAACAGAGTAGTACATGTCTCACACATGTATTCACCTGCATATTCGGTAACTTCTTCCTAATCTAGTACCTGTTATGTTGCTGCCACCGGGTTCGTATCTCAAGCTATCTTTTAGAATACTGCCATAACCTGATCCGTATCTCAAACCACAACCTTCCTATTTTAGTAGTTGTTATGTTCTCCTGCTCTTGTTTTGGGTTCGCACAACTCCAGCACCTACATTCGAACTTTCCTTCTTTCCCGGATTCTTTATCGATCTCTCCCTTACTTCTAGCCAGCAACCCGGAAGGGTTGGTTCATCTAGACTTTAGGTGCCTATATGGTCTTTCTTCCCTTGGTACATGCTTGCAAAGCACATGTCCTTTTCCTCCGGTTTGGTGACCCGGCGGTTCGGCTGGTATGTCCTCCACTTAAGGACCTGATCGCTTGGTTCTCCGATCTCAGTTTTTAGTTCCAAATTCGGTCTTCCTGTAGTACTGTCAAAGATTGCACTACCTCCTAACTCGGGACTTGCCAAACGGGTTTTCGGTTCTTCCGGTATCTCAGATTTATTACGCCAAAGCTCACATTCTAGATAGTGTGATCGAGATTACAAATTTCTAGATCCTACTGATCGTTGAATAACTATTAACCTTATCACAGGGCTATTTTTCGAAAACGTCATCTGTGGGATTCAAACTCTAGACCTGCTGTCTGGGGATGCAACAAATCCACCACTTCACTAAGTCGCCACACCCAAAATAATTATTTAAAATATTATTAATTGAATAAACTCTGTATCTTTAGTTACAAAAAGCTTGAGAAGTAACAACTAACTAACTATACTAGATTGCTACTAGTACTTAGCACAATTAAACAAAAATTTAATAGCCAAATACTTGTGATTAAGTTAAATATTAAAAAATTACAAATTAATCAATATTATATATACATATATATATATCAGTCGATCGAGATGTCACGCAGATCCCCGTGATTAAATTTTTTACTATGAAATTTGAGTGATCGACACCCATATGAAATTTTTGATTTTCATAGTAAATTGCAACAGTAGACCATTTTCAATCGTCATTTTCAGGGGTTTTATAAAAGGAAACTGTGTTCTGGACAACGTGAAATGATTCGACAAGATAAATAATTTATTATCCATATGTTTAAAGTAAGAAAAATAACAAACATGAAAAGAATCTTGTCTTCAAAGATGCCCTTTTGTTTCATAATCTATAGTAGTATAGTAATAGCAATCTACTACAAAGAACAAAGTTACCTGGTAAACCTTTGTACAAAGAATTAAAACCACTTAACAAATACAAACTTACAAAACTGTTAAACCAATTTTTAGGGTATGAGTGGAGAAAAAGCATTGGCTGATGCATATTGCAAAAACACTAGTTAACCTGGAGCAGAAGAACAAAAAGAATTAGCCGGTTCACTTTGCAAGAACACCACGGTTGACTTCTTTGAATCTCAGCTAAAGAATAAAGTTGGATCTGAAGAACGAAAAGCGTTAGTTGATTCACTTTACAAAAACACCGCGTTGACTTTTCTGGAATAATAAACTTGAATCAGAAAAGCGAAAAGCGTTAGCTAATACACTTGGTTGGAATATAATAAAAGTATTAGCCAATGCATTTTACACAAACAACCATGATGATTTTTTAAAAATAATCAATAATCTTAAGATATTTTAGTGTAATTATAGATTTTATTATAACAATTATATTTATTCTATATTAATAAAAAAAATTGTAATTGAATATAATTAAATAAAATTATTAAATATTTTATTGTTATTAATAATGTAAATGAATTGCCAATTATAAGTATAAATAATTGTTTACTAAACTATTGAACTAAAAAATTATATAAAACGCAATAAATTAAACCTGAAGATTAGCGGTTCTAATTCTGATACCATTTAAAAGGCTTCGGCTTCGGTAGGATTTTCAGTGAATATCTTTTGAACTTCAAAGATCTCTTCAATTTAAAGTAAGGCTGGAATTATTATGACGCGTTAAGGCATTCCATTACCAGATAGTAAATCATGTCATAGGTAGTGGTCTCATTTTACATCACGACACGAGATGTCTTTTATTACGCGTGGTTTAATCAAATCACTTATCGAATGGGGTGAAAAAACGTATAATTTTTAATTCCCTTTAATATTTGAAGCCTATAAAATGATGTATTTTCGTGATTGTTAACAATAATCTTCAGATTATATATTTTTAATAAAAAAATAAAAATCTTATCTGTTATTTGTTATATAAAATTTCATAAACCCTAAAAATGGAGTCCTTATATAATGCTTCATTCGATCCTGAAAAGGAAGCTCAATCCGATTTTAACAGAGCGTCAAATACTAGCACCGAACAAGTGGACGATGATGCCTTCACGTTTGATTGGCATTCGTATGAGAGAGTAAAGGAAATAATTCTATCTGATGAAGAAATAGATGATGAATTAATTGAAAGTGATGAATCATTCGAGAGTAATGATAATGATACGGAAATAATTGAGGAGGAGCATGACATGCCACTTCCTTTTGAGGTTGCACATTCTACAAAATTTACAAATTGTGTTGTTATTGATAATGAAATCAGCAATAAGTCAACTGAAATTCAAAAATGCAATAGTGTGGGGGTTCGAAGCGTAAATCAATTATCAGACATGTGGGAGGTCAACTCTCAAACTGTAAAAGAAGTTGGTAATGATGTCGCACGACTAGGTATTTGTATGCGGCATTACAACTATGACCTAAAATATTTATGCCCAGGCGTAAGAGACGAACTATCTACAGAAGAAAGTATGATTATATCACGTCGCTGTCTTCTTTGTAACAAAATAAAATATTTTTTTACAAGAGGTATAACATGTTCATCACATACCCGAA